TCGTCTTTTTATGAAGATCCTAGTCACTTCATGAAGCGTCGGTTAGGTTAGTTAGTTTAGTTAGGTTATTAGGTTAGTTTATTTCATGAAGTGACTAGGATCTTCATGAAAAGACGGAATACACTATGAGACTACGACACATATACATTGTAGAAATGAATGCACTATATCTCGTAAACAGTAAAACGTAAAGTTACACATCAACTTGATAGTTTTTTTTATGTAAAAAATGGTTTCGCCCGGAAAAAAGCATAAAACTGCGTTTGAGTGATTTTGGCGCCCTCTAACTTTGTCCCCGTAAGTTATCGAGGTTTATTACTTAGAAATAAAAATGTAGAGAATTTAATTATCTTCATTTTTTGTTCCATAAAATTTTCTGTACGACCTACCGTCCAGCCAGAAAATCAAATCAAATTTTTTTGAGTTTCTCAAAAATGGTGGGGTGGGGGGATGTGAATTTTCGAATTTAAGCTTTTCCAGTGGACAACTTACGACTGACAAAGTATGAGAGCGGGGGTAATTGGATGGGAGTCTAGACCTTTTTTGATGAATGTACTAAATACCGACCCACGACTTCTCTTGTCGATATGGTATATTACAGAGATCTTATAAACTTCGGTATATTATTAACTTTTTGAAAAAAAAGTTTATCTAATAGCATTGACTAAAAAAACTGTGTATTTGTATACGCCGGTTGTTAACGATATTCTCCGATGGCGGCAGGACTGGCGGAGAATGCACCAAGCCTATAGAGGTAAAATCAAATTCTGAATACTTTGATGGTTTCTTTTATCATACAATCCAATTTTTTATTGCTTAAAGGACTCCTTTTTAATTTGCCAGTTATCATTGTCACATATATTATATGTAACAGTTTATTGTTATTGGACTGAATTGATTCCACCTAATTCTTTATCGATAGCGTACATTTCTTGGAAACTTTTTCACTATATACAACATAATTTAAAAGTTAAAATTTAAATAAATAGATACCTGCACCCCATGAGTTGGTACCAGCCATCGGCGAGTCGGCCCCATGGAAGCCCCCACCGGTATGGTTGTCATGATCCAGCGAGTTGGCTGCATCATACTGAGTGTTTTCTAATCTGGTGATGAGCCGTTCGTCTTCGTCACCGAATTCGCCACCCATAAGTGAAGGTTCACCCACCACCATCACATCCTGAATAAGTAAAAACTGAATTTACAAAACAAACATATATTTTACTCGATTCAATTAACATCATTAGAACCGAAAATGAACATATTTTAAAGGTTAATTGAAGAGTGGAAATGCGAAAAAATGACAAAAACACAGTAGAACTGAAAGTAATAAATTCTTAAGATATCTTTTAAATTACATATAATATACATAAAAAATAAACGCTTTCGCTTGGCACTTGTAACATTTGTTAGGACATGCTGCATGGTATTTATTACGTTTCCAATGCAATAACTTAATATTGCAAAATTTGGCACTTACCCTCTTTGGTATTTCCACTCTTCAATTGTTGAGGATATTCTCTATTTAAAATCAGCTTAAAACAAGTCAATGCAATGCATATGATCAAAGATACAACATCTATGATTTAAATATTCTTTTATGTCTTAGACATACAATAGATACATATGCATATGTTTTAAAACTTGATGTATTGTGCTGGCGTGCATATTGTCAAGGTGTATGGCGACATCTGTCGGAGGAACGAAAAACCGCTAAGCGTGTTTGTATAGTCAAGAAGCGTGGTGAGATCTATCCAAATTATACGACGGCTTCCCCATAAGAGCAATAAGAGGATTTACGTCCCAGTATTGAAGGACAGAAAATCGAGTCGAATGGTTTCAAGACATAAGTTCATCTTTGTTAGGCAAACCTCCTACAACACAAGGATAGACTTACGTAGGAAATACATTGAAATTCTATAGCCATCCTTCAATATCGGGACAGGAATTTAAGCGGTACCCTCCGTATATTTTATTTTAAACGGTATTTGGATCTTTCGGAGGAATTAAATGGTGCGCCATCTCTTAGACATTGGTGGAAAATCACGGACAAGGTAACGGAAATTGCTAGAAGGATACTACAAATCAATAGAATACAAAAAGAATACTACTATGAGTTTTAGAAATTTCGAGAGCGTCCGCTGGGATATACTGTATGATCGAAAAAAAAACGGCATCCAGTTGGCTTGAAAGTAACGATCAGACATTCCCCATATAATTTTACATATCAAATGACAGCGATGTTCATTTTATAGCCATCGCTGACGTCGTTTTTTTTTCGATCATGCGGTATAAAGGTTCGAACCTCGCCAAGTCAGTCGGTTTGAAATAGAATTTAGCGACTAATTGACAAAACTTTTTTATCACATTTTTTAGGGCGGAATGATTTTATATTGTCTCTAATGAGATATTAAAGGCTGTGCCTTCTTGTGAATCTTCGACGTACTCTGCGGACCGCAAAGACTTGAAGGCCGAGATGTAGCAATATGTAAGAAAAAGATAAAGTAAGAAAGTACCGCAAGTCGGTGGCGGTCGGAGGCCGCTATTCCGGGCGGTGTTGCCAACTCTGTCTGTCTCTGTTTTCGAGAAACAAAAATTTAGTGCGTTGAGTTTTATAAAATAATGTCTTCCGTCTCAGCGACGTTAGACGATACAACTGGATGGACACGCGAACGTCTGGAAACTCTGTCGTGCTGTTGTTTCATGACAGGAATGTAAAATTTATTGATAAACACTGTTCATTTAGGCTAGTTAGAGATCGGATATCTCGCGAGTAATTGTTAATTCAGACACCACCCGCTAAGTCGGTAGGCCAGTGATAATGATATGGCCGAGGTCCACGGTTCGGATTCCGCGCAAACAAAGTAGGCCCCGTCCAGATTAGCTCTAGCAGCAAAAGGAAGATGTTAACTCAACTTTAAAGGGTCGTTTAGCCTCTAAGATAATTTGCGCTAACTGGCGCAAACCAGTTAGCGCAAAACCAAACTGTACCAACAGATTGTAAAGTGTAAACAGAAATCGTTAGTTTGAGCAGTTCAAAAATTTGGCTTGAGTAAATTCATTGCCTGGAAACTTATATGGTGAAATTCTGACAAAATAATTTAGTAAGAACACGGTATGTCGCTAGTGGTAGGAAAAATATTGTTTAGAGATTTCTAGTTTATTTGGTTGCCTAAAAAATACATATAATGCAATGACTAAAGAATACAAGGACATGACAATGTAACGCCGTCTACGGGCAGCAGAATTTGTGACCTTAGACGTCATTTTGTTGGTGGCAACTAATGAGTCATCAGCTGATCATATCAGCGACAATTTTCGCGATTTTTAATAATATGTGTGTAGTTAACTTGTATAAACAATGCCGATTACAATGGCGATTAGTTGTTCAGCTTTCAAGAGTAAAAGCCGCAGCAATAAGAAAGAACCAGGAGTTATGTTTTCATTGGTAAATAAACAGTCCACTCCACCTTTTTAGCGTTTTATTAGTTTTCTTATTAAATTCGATAATTATTTTTCTGATTTATATGAACTTGCTGTGTGCTAAACGTCGATACTACCATTTTTGTACATTTTGTTAACATTTTAATACGTTATTTTCGTAATTAATTAGTATGATACCACCGTATACACCATAGGCGTAGTAAAATTATTTATCAAAAAATATATCTCTAATAATCTAATAATAATAATCTAAATATCTCTTCAAACACTAAACAGGTAAGTTAAGAAAAATATGTGCAGCGGCGCTGTTTGGTGGCATGGTAACAATTTGCTCTCGGATGTTATTTGTCCTTGGATTCTTTAGTCATGGATATAATGGCATGTATTTGACATAATTGTCAACTTGTCAATGAGAAATAGTAAAAAAATAGTTTTATTAAATTTGGACCTGGGCGTCGAGAAAATACGGGATTGCTTTTGAATAATTGAAAACATTACTGACATCTATGGATATACAAACGCCTTCAACATCAAAAGGTTAAGTTTCTAAATTCTTTTATTACATTGAATGTAGTAGATAATGATTCAGTATTAAAACTAAAAGAATTTCGGACTTCCATTTTCTTTATTTTGCTTACACATCGTTTCGGTCAGAAGTATCACTGACCGTTATCAAGTGTGAACTAAACTAAATCCTAAAACTAATATATATTGACTAAATTACGTCATACTTTAGTCGCTAAACAACAGTAAAAAACAATCTATATTAACATACCTGTGACGCTAACGAAAAATTTGGTCCTGGCGACCTTTTTTTGTTGGGAGCTGGTGTCGCGTTGTTTGCTGCCCCGCCTGAATTCGATCCTTTCCTTTTCCTTCGCTTGTTCGCGGGCCTCTGGGATTCTGTGCGACCAAATTATCGAAATAAACTAATTAGTTGTCTTCAATCGCCTTCTAAACATCTCCAATATTTCCTATTTGTCATCTTACTTTCAAATAAGTATTGATAATATTAAAATTAAGATAATTAATAAAATTTCGTTGACAAGCAAGAAATATTGAATTTTTTAATCTACTTAATAATAAAATACTCTATACGTGCATCAGAATGATTCGTCAGAATTATTCTCATTTTTGCAATACCAATAATCTGTAGATGAATAAAGTTTATGTAACTCTCGGGAATAGGTGCGTATGCGTATGTCATCTTGCCTATATTTGACGTAGAACTGTAGTTAAATATACTATTTAGTTTTTCAATAAAAGAAAAATTTACTTTAAAAAAAATTAAAAGCATTTTTGAATTTCAAATTTTTTCACCTCTGGACATTTGTAATTATCAATCTTAATAATGTCATGTTTCAAATGTGGTAAATATAATAGAAATCTCGAGATTTTCTCATTTGGGCATTTTATATCATGTAAATTAGGTCTCAGGAACATCGAAAGAACAATTTAAATATAAAATAATGACAAAAACTAACTTTAACTACTTCCCCATGTTAGCAAATTTGTACTTATATCATGACAATTAATTAATTTTGACTGATTTGACGGATAGTGCGCCACAACATTCGGAAAAGTTACACGAGTAGGACTATAGTGATGTGATTTATGTGATATTAGCATATTTCTACATATACAGTTTATCAGTAGGTAAATATAGGTATTCAAAATCAGAACATTTTTCAAATTAACTTCATGAAGGTGACAAAAGTAGAAAATTAAACACTTTTGACCACAATAATTAATTAAAATACTTTTGGTTACAACGTTTTGTGGTAAAATATGTAAATTTATACTGTAACAACAAATGTTCCAGCCTAAAAAGTATTTCTCTAAGACAAAGGTAATAAATATTACTAAAAGCTAAAAAAGAATTAGTTCAATTAATTTCCATCTGTTTGTTAATAAAGTATTATTTACAACAAAACTGAACATTCAAAATTATTCTGTTAATTATAAATTACAAGATATTTTTCAAAAATTAAAGTTGTTTAATAAAATAGCTATAAATTTTCGAATAATAATTTAAAAGGGTATTGAATTCTTTGGGACGTTTTCAAACAAGTAGGGAAAATGTTTCTTTTGGTGTATTGATCAATGAAAAGAAATGACTGAAGTTGTAACTTTATAAACATCTAATAATTATGTCTAATGACACTAAAATCGTTAATTACAAATGTCTCTGGATTACCTCCTTAAACGTTAAAAAATTAAAAAACGTTTTAATAGGTTCTTAGCAAATTTCGATAGATTCATTTTTAGTGTGAAAGTAGAGCAAAAATGAACAATCCTATAGTGCAATATAAAATTGGTACCTCTCGTACCAGGCGGGGCGATGATACGTTGCCACTTTTGAAACAGGGTCGTTTTTAAACAATCTCTGGGACTGAGGGCGTAGGCCTTGTTCCTCGACATCAGTTCTTGCATTGGTTCTAGTATCACACATAGCTAAAAAAAGAAATAATATTAAAGAAAACAGTCAAACATTTCAACAATATTAGTTTTCCTTTAATTTATTTTGTACTAAAAATCCAGTATTAAGTAAAATTAGATATAAAAAACCTACACCATCCGACATAAGAAATAAAAAGGACATTTATAAGAAATATAAAGGTCACATAAAAGGCCTTTAAAATTAAGCGTGAAACGCATAAACAAACATGCTTAATTCCGTTTATAGTTTTCCAAATATTCATACCGTTTTAGAGTAAATTAAAAAAAAACATGAAAAAATGAATGAATTTTTCTAAATCCTAAAAACCAAAAGGTGATTTCAAAAGTGTAATTTTGATTAGGATAGATGGTTATTATTAATTTTGATTAACGTCATATTTCTGATAACTATATCACCCTTTCCGTAGCATTGAACTAAATAGAACTAAATAAATGTTGTGCTTTTTTAACATTTTCAAACGGCAAACAATAAGACATTAATTAAAATTCTATCAATAACAATCAGGCCCTAGACACTCAATGGTAATTTTAACTACAAATTTAGTTTCTTCCGCATCGCCAGACGACGCAAAAGACATTAAAGTACAGGTTTCTAATTTATATACGAAGATGACATGACAGTCTCTATGTTGACTACCGTCCATGCTCTAGTTGACAAAATGTTGGTGATCCGTGATTAGTAGTCTATATTATTTTTACTATATTATAATTTATTTGTTAAATCAAAAAAAAAATAAGCGCTATGTGCTCTATTGTTGGTGTTTAAAATGTATGTACTCATAATTTTAATGTTGTTTTGACTCTGTTACACTTCTAATGAACTAATAAAATATAAAATGGTAGCAAAAAGTCTATATTTATTATTTTATATTTTACAAGGAATAATTTTGCGCTTGAATAACGTTACCGTTTTAGTTAGCGTTAATAAGTAACGGAACGCTAAAATTGTGTTATGCCAAAACTCTCCAGTAGTTTCTTCCGGGTTACCAGGTGGCTCTAAATGACGGACCCATTTGTTTTTTATATCAGTATCCAATCTATCTCTAGTAAATGACATTAGTCTATGATAACAATCTATCAAAGGATAAAAACATGATGAAAACGAAATCATATTGCCATAGTTTTGATTTGACTTAGAAAAAAATCAACAATACTTTTATGTTTTCCTTAATTTCATCTAAAACGGTAGGGAAATTAGTAAAAGTATAAACAAAACCTATTCAATAAAAAGGGTTTTCCTCTTGTAAAGAAAATCCGGGGACATACTATATATTAATTGGTTTTCGGATTCTAGGTAAAAAATAAAGGTGAGTTTTATTAGAGAAGTATTTGACTAAAATGTAACTTTTTTGACATATTTGACATATTTAACATTTTCTAAAAATGGAGAAAGAATTTTAAAATAGATTTTAAATTTCTATAAAAGCTACCTAATTTGAATTCACCCAGTATAGCCGAGTATGTAGTTAAAATATCCATTGTACTTTAAATCAAATAAAAACTTGATCCCAAATACAGGGTGCGAAAAAATTAATATTGAACATTGGTCACTTTTAAAAGCAAGTTACTCTTTTATTGGGACACCTAGTATATTATTGTGATATTCAATGAAGATTGAAAAGACAACTCATGTGTGTACTTAGGGGCGCAACTAGACATATACTTTTAGGGGGGCCCAAGTCTTTTGGGGTGGCTTAGGTCACTATAAGATAAGATTCATGTGAAGTTAAAACTAATTTTATACGACATGCACTGGTCACCTGGGGGGGCTAAGCCTCCCCTGGCCCTACCCTATTTGCGCCTCTGTCTGTACTAAATACTATTAAGGTTCATTAACTCTCAGAAAACAATTTTCCTAGATAATTATATGATTTAGCGTTAATACAATCTGTGGTTCTCCTTGTAGCATCCGCATCGTATGAAAGGGGCCACCCTGTATATTTTTGTCGAGAGAAAAATCACTGGGCTTTTTTTAGTGTACAAACGCAAGGAATTGCAGAGGAATTTTAAGGTATTTCGAGGAATTTCGGGGAATTTTGGGGTATTTCGAAGGAATTTCGGGAAATTTCAAGGAAATTTCGAGGGTATTTCGGGAATTTCAAGAGTTTTGCGTAATATATTACAAAATCCCATTAAAATTTTGACGAGAAAAAGACAAAATTAAGAAAAGTAGTGTGAGAAAGTACTATCCATATTTAGTTTATGATTAGTGATGGCAAAGTTTACAGAAAAAGTGATGGCAAGCCACCTTTTATCTGTGGTAAGCTCGCCCACATGTTATCAAGACGAATAGTCCCGATTTGTTTATTGTTCTGTTAAAGAGCGCTGTTTTCTGTTCCTATGTGTAATATCGGGAAAACTATTTATAAATCTTTTAATAATTAATGAAACAAAATTAGACTTAAATAAAATTTCTTTGAAAAAATATGAAAGTATGTTGCGGATTACGCCATGGTATTTGCCAGATTCCTCTTTTATTCCTCTGTGCAACACTGGAGGATAAGTATGCCTATTTCTTATGTCACGACGTAATAAATAGTTCAATACATAATATAGACATTTACGCTCAAATTAGCATTTTCATTTTAAAAGAAGCTTTTTTTA